TCTTCTGAGGCTTCTCTCCACGGCTTATTGATGGTCATCTTCTCACCATGTTCTTATATGTTTTTTTCTGTATGCATGCATGTCTGTGTCCCAATTTCCTCTTCTTATGAGGACACCAGTCATATAGGATTTAGGCCCATCCTAAAAAGATAAAAATATAATTTTAACTCAATTATCTTTTTTAAATGTTTATTTCCAAATAGAGTCACATTCTGAAGCACTCAGGGTTAGGACTTCAAACTGAATTTGGGGCAGGGGACACAATTCAGCCCATGTACCATTAATTTTCCTTCAGTGATACAGAAAACAAAATGAAAGTAATATACATACAATGAGTTTGTAAATTCATTAAGCCATAGAGGCATATTTGATATTCTCATATCAATAGTAATAATATAATGATAATAATCTTTATTATAAGAATAATACCAGCTATATTTTATTAATAGCTAATGTCATTTAAAATTTCAGAAAAACACATTTGTGTTTAGATATTAATTCCCACATTTTATAGATAAGGAAATCGAAGCTTAAAATGTTAAGTAGTTCACTCATGGTTATATGACCAGAAAAATGGAAAAGTCAAAATTTTATTCCATTTCCCAGGAAAACTACTTTAATATAATTTCTCTTAGTGTGTGTGTTTTTTTTTTTTACTGTTCTCTTTTTAATTTGATATATGTATATATTGTGAAATGAGTACCATAAAGTTAGTAAATACGTTCATCACATCACAGTTACCTTTTTTGTATGTGTGGTGTGAAGATTTAAGATCTACTCTCTCAGGACATTTCAAGCACGCAACACAATATTGTTGACTATAGTCAACATGCTATACTTTAGATCCCTAGAATTTATTCATCTTATAATTGAAAATTTGTACCCTTTGATCAACATTTCTTCATTTTTTCCACCCCCAGCCCTTGGCAACCAATTACTCTGTTTCTATGAGTTTGGCTTTTTTATATTACACATATAAGTGAGATGAAGCAGTATTTGTCTTTCTCTGTCTTTGTTATGTCTTGTTTCAAGAGTGACATAGGACTAATATCACCAATTGAAAAAGCCATATTTAAGTTAATTATGATCACACACTATGATTAAGCCATCCCATGCTTATTTTATAGGCCTAGAAACTATCAAACATATTTCTAAGGAGGCACCTAATAAAACAGTGTATCATTTGTAGTAGTGGGGTATTGGAAACAAATTAAATGTCCTTTAACAAGGAAATGGAGACTTTATATTGCGGTGTAAATGGAGTATTATAAAGCAATGATAATTAAGGAAATCAGATATATGTATCAATATGGATATATGTCAAGAATATAATGTAAATGAAATGCAAGTGGTAGAATAATACCTTCAGTAAAATATTATTCATACAAAATTTAAAAAATGAAAAATAATGTACATTATTGATATTTCTGCAGAGATATGAAAGCTGCATGAAAAAATTAGCACCAAATTAAAGATAATGGGTATGTGTGGAGAGGAGGAAAGAGGAATGTATAAGAGAAAGGAATAATTGGCTACTACAACGTTTTATATAATGCTTTATTTCATTAAAAAATCTGAAGCAAATATGACAAAATGTTGAATCTTGACAAATCTAGTAGTAAGGATTTGAGTGTTCATTATATTGCTTTTTTGTATTCTTCTGATTATCTATTGCTGTATAACAAGCCATTACAAAACTCGTTGGCTTAAAACAGCAATTTGTAATGATTTCTCAGTGTTCACGGTTTGACCAGACTCAGCTGGTAGTTCTCCCTGGAGGTGACTCACCTTGTTTCAGTTAGATAAGGCTGGGGGTGTAGTCATCTGAAGCTTTAACTGAGCTGGCCATTGAAGACAGCTTATTGCTTCACTTACTGGCACCTCAGTTGGTATATCTGAAACAGTTGGAAGGTTAGCCGAAACTAACTCTCTCTCTCATCTGTCTCTCTGTCTCTGTCTCTCTCTCTGTCTCTGTCTCTTTCTCTCTCACTTGCTTGCTCTCATCTGTCTCTCTCTCTCTCTCCTCCCTCTATTGGTTCAATGTCCTTGGGAAACTCTATCACAAGTGGTGTGGGGATACAAAACTAAATGTTTATTGAACCTTTTTGGGTACAAATAAAATTTAATGGCTATATCCACTCAACAAGTAAAAAAATTTTTTGCCTTTCAAATGCCATGAAAATGTTCTCGAAAAAGTAGTATGAAATTATTATAGCATCCTGAATTTTATCTTATAACAACTTATTATCATTGTTTCTCTTGGGATGTGCAGTTTTTTTAGTGACAGAGGTAAGGATTCATAACATATGAGCATTTATAAATGTTATCCTATGTGAGCCATAATTTGGTTCTGAATTAATCACTGTATTTGAATTTTGTCCTTCTGACTTTTTAATCTGCCGAAAATATATGCTCATTATAGATATCACAGAATTAAAAAACATTAGCAAAAAATGAAATAAGATATATACAGTACAATTATTCAGATAAAATATTTTTTAACTCTTTTAAAAAAATAAAGGACCTAAGACTTTGAGGAAATATTACCACTTGCTTTATAAGTTTTGGGAAAAATAATAGTGAATTAACATATTTGGTGATTAAATAAGCTCAAGAAGCAAAGATATGGAGTGCATTGTGTATTTTATGCAAATTTATTGTATATATTTTCATTGGATATTTTTATTTTATCAGATTTTTACTAGTGATATAAAGAAATTCTCATTTCAAATATGTTCAAAAACAGAAGAAATTAAATTAGCCTAAAAGATATTTCTTTTCACTAATTATTCTAGACACATATATTTTGGTCATTCAAATTGTTAACATAAAAAAACTTTTTAAGAAAACATTATAGCAGATATTTACGTCTTTTTCAGTATTCTAAAATTCTCAATACAGATTCACAAATCAGATTCACATGAAGTAAATAATGGAATATCACAGGTGTACACTGTCCTGCCATCCAACCAACACAACATTTGGAAAGAAATTTCCCATACAAACCTGTGAAGACTCAACATGACACAGT